GCATTCATTTTAGGAGACTTCAACACACCACTCACTCCAAGGGACAGATCCACCAGACAGAAAATAAGTAAGGACACAGAAGCACTGAATAATGTATTAGAACAGGTGGACCTAATGGACATCTACAGACCACTCCATCCAAAAGCAACAGGATACACATTCTTCTCAAGTGCACATGGAACATTTTCAAGAATAGATCATGTACTAGGCCACTAAAAGGGTCTCTGTAAATTCAGAAAGATTGAAATTGTACCAACCAGCTTCTCAGACTACAAAGGTATGAAAGTAGAAATACATATGCAAAGAAAACAAAATATTCCACAAACGCATGGGGCTTAACAACATGCTCCTAAATATTCAATGGATCAATGACCAAATAAAAACAGAGATCAAGCAATATACAGAAAAATATGGAAGTAATAATTCAACACCACAAAATCTGTGGGAGGCGTAGAGGGCTGTGCTAAGAGGGAAGTATATTGCAATACAGGCTCACCTCAGGAAAGAAAAACAATCCCATATGAATAGTCTAAACTCACAATTAATGAAACTAGGAAAAGAAGAAGAAATGAGGCCCAAAGTCACTAGAAGGAGGGAAATAATAAAGATCAAAGCAGAAGTAAATAAAATCGAGAAGAATAAAACAATAGAAAGAATCAATGAAAGCAGGAGCTGCTTATTCAAGAAAATAAACAAAATAGCTAAAGCCCTAGCCAGACTTACCAAGAAAACAAGAGAGTCTACACACATAAACAGAATCAGATATGAGAAAGGAGAAATCACTATGGACACCTCAGAAATACAAAGAATTATTAGCAAATACTATGAAAACTTATACACTAACAAATTGGATAACCCAGAAGAAATGGACAACTTTCTAGAAAAATACGACCTTCGAAGACTGACCCAGGAAAAAACAAAAAATCTGAATACACCAATTGCCAGCAAGGAAATTGAACTGGTAATCAAAAAACTACCAAAGAACAAAACTCCTGTACCAGATGGCTTCACCACTGAATTTTATCAAACATTTAGTGAAGACTTAAGACCTATCCTCCTTAAAGTTGCACAAAAAGAGGAGGGAATACTTCCAAATTCATGCTATGAGGTCAGCATCACTCTAATATGATAACCAGGTAGACACCACAAAAAAGAAAATTACAGACCAATACCCCTGATGAACACAGATGCAAAAATAGTCAACAAAATATCAGCAAACCGAATTGAAAAATAAATTTAAAAGATCATCTAACATGGTCAAATAGGATTTATTCCAAGGATGCAAGGATGGTACAATATTTGAAAATCCATCAACATCATACACCACATCAACAAAAATAAGAACAAAAATCACATGATCATCTCTATAGATGCTGAAAAAGCATTTAACAAAATTCAGCATCCATTCATGATAAAAACTCTCAACAAAATGTGTACAGAAGGCAAGTACCTCAACACAATAAAGGCCATATATGACAAACCCACAGCCAACATCTTACATAAGTTTAAAAAGCTGAAAGCTCTTCCTTTAAGATTGGAAACAAGACAAGGATGCCTACTCTCCCCACTTTTATTCAACATAGTACTGGAGGTCCTAGCATGGCAGTCAGACAACACAGAGAAATAAAAGGCATCCAGATTGTTAAGGAAGAAGTTAAACTGTCATTTGCAGACAACATAATATTGTACATAAAAAACCCTAAGGAATCCACCCCAAAACTACTAGAAATGATGTCTGAATTCAGCAAAGTTGCAGGATACAAAATCAATGCACAGAAATCTGTTGCATTCCTATAGAGTAATGATGTACTAGCAGAAAGAGAACTCAGGAAAACAGTTTTATTCTCAATTACATCAAAAAGAATAAAATACCTAGGAATAAACCTATCCAAGGAGGTGGAAGACCTGTACACTGAACACTATAAGCAACTCATGAGAGAAATTAAAGAAGACACCAATAAATGAAAATACATCCCATGCTCATGGATAAGATGAATTAATATTGTACAAATGGCCTTCCTGCCTAAAGCAATCTACAGATTCAATGCAATCCCTATCAAAATACCAATGGCATTTTTCAATGAATTAGAAAAAATAGTTCTAAAATTCATATGGACCACAAAAGACTCTGAATAGCCAAAGCAATCCTGAGAAGAAAAAAACTGGGGGAATTTTGCTCCCTGACTTAAAGCTCTACTAGAAAGCCACAGTAATCAAAAAAATTTGGTACTGGCACAAGAACAGACCCAGAGACCAATGGAACAGACTAGAGAGCCCAGATATAAACTGAAGCATATGTGGTCAATTAATATACAATAAAGGAGCCATAGACATACAGTTGGGAAATGACAGCCTCTTCAACAACTGGTATTGGCAAAACTGGACAGCTACATGCAAGAGAATGAAACTGGATATTGTCTATCCTCATACACAAAACTCAAAATGGATCAAAGACCTGAATGTAAGTCATGAAACTGTAAAACTCTTGGAAGAAAACATAGGCAAAAATATCTTGAATATAAACATGAGCAACTTTTTCCTGAACAAATCTCCTAGGGCAAGGGAAACAAAAGCCAAAATGAACAAATGGGACTACATCAAACTGAAAAGCTTCTGTATAGGAAAGGACTCCATCATAGAACAAAAAGGCATCCTATAGTATGGGAAAATATATTTGTAAGTAACATATCCAATGAGTGATTAACAACCAAAATATATAAGGAACTCACACACCTCAACATCCAAAAAGCAAATAACCCAATTAAAAAATGGGCAGAGGAGCTGAACAGACACTTCCCAAAGAAGAAATTCAGATGGCCAACAGGCACATGAAAAGATGCTCCATATTGCTAATTATCAGGGAAATGCAAATAAAAACCACAATGAGATTTCACCTCACACCAGTTAGGATAGCCAACATCCAAAAGACAAGGAACAACAAATGCTGGTGAGGATTTGGAGAAAGGGGAACCCACCTACACTGCTCGTGGGAATGTAAATTAGTTCAACCATTATGGAAAGCAATATGAAGGTTCCTCAAAAAACTAAAAATAGAAATACCATTTGACCTGGGAATTCCATTCCTAGGAACTTACCCAAGGAAAACAAGATCTCAGATTCAAAAAGATATAGTCACCCCTGTGTTTATTGCAGCACTATTTACAATAGTAAAGACATGGAAGCACCTAAGTGTCCATCAGTAGATGAATGGATAAAGAAGAAGTGATACATATATACAATGGAATATTATTCAGTCATAACAAGAAAACAGATCCTACCATTTGCAACAACATGGATGGAACTAGAGGGTATTATGCTCAGTGAAGTCAGTCAGACAGAGAAAGACAAATATCAAATGATTTCCCTCATTTGTGGAGTATAACCATGAAGCAAAACTGAAAGAACAAAACAGCAGCTGACTCACAGACTCCAATAAGGGACTAGTGTTTATCAAAGGGATGGGTGGATAAGGGTGGGTGGGAAGGGAGCAAGAACAGGATTGGGGGGTATAGTGATTGGCACACATGGTGGTGGAAAGAATCATGGGGAAGACAGTGTAGCACAAAGACAAGGAGTGACTCTGTGGCATCTTGCTATGCTGATGGACAGTGACTGCAATGTGGTATGGGGGGGGGGACTTGATAATATGGGTGAATGTAGTAACCACAATGTTTTTAATGTGAAACCTTCCAGAAGTGTGTATCAATGATACTTTAACAAAAAAAATTAATTGGAAAAAGGTCAATTGTGTTTCTAAAGAACAACAACAAATAAAAAAGGAGTTTTAAAAATTATAGCATTTACCTTAACATCAGCAAACATAAAAGTAACTGGATATAAATTTAATAAAGATAAATCTAACAAAATTAATTTATTTATTAATAAGTTAAGAAATCTAAGAAATTAAGATTTCTACTCTGAAGACTGTAAGACTTTATAGGGAGAAATTAAACAAGATTTAAATGGATGGGTACCATTTTGTGGATTATAAAATCAGTATTGTAAACATATCAGTTAATAAAGCTAAACATATACCTGCTCTGTGATCTAGAATTTCCTCTCTCAGGTATTTTACTCAAGAGAAAGGAAAACAAATACCTGCAAAAAGGCATCCAATAAAGTTCATACCAGTTTACCCAAAATAGCCAAAAACTGGAAATAACTCAAATATCCCTTATTAGCCCAAAGGATAAACAAATTTTGCTAGGCTTATATATTGGAATACTGTTTAGAAAAAAAAAATCAGACCACTGATCGTACTACAATGTGGATGCATCTCAAAAAAATGATAGGAAAACTGAAGAGAGTACATAATGAATATTTCAATTTACATAAAATTCAAGAACAATCTTGAATCTGTAGTTAGAGAAAGCTGCTTAATTTTTGCCTGGAACTGGGATGGAGTGGAGATAGACTGGACACAGAAACGGAGAATTTTCTGGTGTAATGGAAGTGCTCTTGAACTTGATTGTAAGACTGATTACACAGGTATATTTCTTTTTTAAAACTCAAACTGTACAGTTAAAATTGGTACATTTTATTTCATAAGACAAAAATTTATAAAAAATCACTAGTTACAAGCATATTCAAAATAAGAACTCATTTTAAATAAACTCCATGTATACATAAAATATATAGCAATATGTTAGCTCCAGGAACAAAAAGAACCTGCAAATTTTAGATGGATATTTTAAACTCTATATCAGATTTCCAGCAAAAGAGATGACATACTCAGATAATTTGAGAATTTAATAAAGGATTTTTTTCACTTAAAAGAATGAATTTCTTTACTTAAAAGACATGGGCAGAGTATAAGAAGACCCTAAGAGAATAACCTGGACGGTTATTGCCTTAAGACCAAAGAGACAAGGAAGAGCCTGGTTATCAGTACATAGAAGAGAATCCTATGGCGAGGTCTGCCTTGATTGGACCTTCAGGAGGAATGTCATCAGCTAGAAACCACCTACAGGGTGGGGTGGAGGATAAATACTCAGACTCACCTTCCTCCTTCCCTCCTGTCTCCTGCTAGGCCCCCTCTGCCGAACACACCTGAAGCCAGAAGGCAGGGGTGCTCAGTCATGTTGTTTGTACAGATCAGCCTCTTGGGTACAAAGGCAAGTGGAGAAGACTCAGGTGTGCATGTGGAGAAGCAAGAGGAATATATGGAGCTTAAATTCCGAACACTTTGCTTTTTTTTTTTTTTTTTAATAAGAAGACTCCTGTTTTACATAACAGGAAAAACATTCATGTTGGCCTCTATTTCCAGAAGACTCCAGGGGAGTGGATCCTGGCCAAGGTCCAGAGGTCGGGAGCTGGCTGGCTAGTCAATCCCATGGTTTACTGGTTGACTTTGGGTCAAAGTATAAGAGTTCTTGCATCGCAGGTTTTTTAACTTGAAGTGTGGATTTGATTCTCAAGAATTCAAAGAAGAAGCTAGATGAGCTTGGGGGAAAAATCCACTTCTGAGGTAATAGGTGCCACCCTTCTTTCAGATCCTTTGAATTGGATTCTGGCCAGCGTTTGTGTTCCCATATGGGAACTGCGGAGGCAGGCACAGGCTGTATTAGCTGCCCTTGGAAGACCCCATGCTCTCCCGTTTCCCCCTGATGCTTCACCTTGAGGTGTACTGAAATCACTTTTCCCATTGTAATGCCCCAGCTGTGTGTTGGCAAATCTTCAACTCAGTTTATTTGGTTCATCTGCCCTGAGCACCACACTCCACGCTCTTGACTTGTATCCCTGGCTGCCGCCTCTCCCTTGGTTTGGCACAGGCTCCTGGCTCCCAAGCAATGTCCATATTTGCATAGGCCCCTCCTCCTTTACCAAGACCCTCTGCTCTGGGTCCAACCCTGGAAGTTTCAGAAAATTCTTGCCACCACAGTCTCCCTCCCTTGTAAGTAAAACCTAAAGGATCTAGCAAGAGGACTTTGTGTTGTTTCACTGTGGGACTTCGGTTTAGCTTATACTTAAAACCCAGGATTTTCTAAGACTCGATTCGAAGACCAGAAGACCTCAGGATGAGGCTTGCACACTGCCATGTCTTGGGTGGGCAGTGAAGGTTTCGTGAGCCAGCACCTAGGAAAGTAGCTGAGGGAGCTGTGCCCCCTTTGTGGCTCCTCAGGGAGCAGTAATAGCGGGCCCAGGACAAAGGGCAGAGCAGGCTGGGGGAAGAAGCCGTTTCAGCCCTGCTCCACCTTTTTGGTTGTTGGAGGCAGGCACTAAGCAGTCTTCTTTTCATCCTCTGGGGAGAAGGCTGAGAGTGTACAGCTGCATCCACAAAGGGTCTTGGTGGTGGTGGGAGCCCCAGGATTCAGGCTTATTGCTGCCCATGGTTTCCTGGTTGACTTCGGGTCAAAGCAAAATAGTTCCTGCATCTGCAGGGTTTTTTTTGGTATCGTTAATGTACAATTACTTGAACAAAATTATGGTTACTGGACTCCCCCTATTATCAAGTCCCCACCACATACCCCATTACAGTCGCTGTCCATCAGTGTAGTAAGATGCTATAGAATCACTACTTGTCTTCTCTGTGCTATATATACTGCCTTTCCCGTGTCCCCCACACACACACATTATGTGTGCTTATCATAATGCTCCTTATTCCCCTTCTCCCTCCCTTCCCACCCACCCTCCCCAGTCCCTTTCCCTTTGGTAAGTGTTAGTCCATTCTTGGGTTCTGTGAGTTTGCTGCTGTTTTGTTCCCTCAACCCTTTTTATTGCCTCCTATTTCTTATTTGGTAGGTCAACAGTAGGCCCAGGAATCTGACTTTTTTAAAAGCTAGATAGATGATCCTAATGACCAGGAAGTGCCTGCATCACTACACAAAACAATCTGTGTTAATCATCAAAATATAAAATTTGTAATATGGACACACAGACACAAATTTCGTGGGATTCCATCTGTAGTCTTATTTATTTTTTTAATACCTACTTGGAGGTTCCACTCACCTAATGACATAAAAAGGCATTGAATATTTATAATGCCTGCTCTCCTTGAGTCTTAGGGGAGCCAATACCATAGGCAAGAGCTACTTAATGACTCTTAGGAGGCATAAATGCTGTAGCTGGGACACCTGGGAAGGTAGGAGTAGGCTCCTTCCTCTTTGTGAGTTAAGGAGTTTACTACCCAGGTCTTTACTCTTGAAGCTTCCTGGAGAGTGGCTCTGAAGGTGAAAAGAAACAGCAGAACTCAATAACATCAAGCTACTCAACTGTTCAAGAGATAAGATGATAGTCACCAGAGGTCACAGACAGCGGCATCCTCATAAAGGCAGCAGCTGGTGGGTTTAAGGAACCAGTTTTGCTCAGTGATCCTTTATCTTTTTTTTTTTGCAGCGGAAAGAGGGGAGTTCTAGGAGTAACTAAGAAGGGTCCACTCACTTCCCACAGTTATTCGACTGCTCCTTTCTTCATTCTGAAAAGTGACAGTGAAGTTTGAACAGTGAAAAGGCACAGAATGAGAAAAGCAAGGGGGAAAGACAGAAAGACACTTTCTCGGGTGCTATGCACAAAAGTTCAAGGCTTTTCCCTGGGACTTTTTCAAGGCAAGTCACATGGCCTCCACTTAGTACTCTCCAGGTTTCACTAACAAAAGAGAGTAAGGTGAGAAAACACAGCAAACTTCAAACAGAGTCATATTTTTACAGATGTATTTTTTTCATACAAAAATCTGTTTTTACTTCTGAAGCACTTAAGAGAAAAAAATAGAACTGGAATTATAAATTCTGTAAAAAATGCACTTTGAATGTATTTTTATCTTGAATTCACGTAATAATGGTATGATGCATACCTCATAAGAGAGGATACTTACTAACACATTTACGCTTCCTTTTCATTTAAATACCACAGTAAGTAGGTGCATAATATTTTTGTATGAGAACAGTACATAAATATGTTCATACCCAAAATGATGCAAAATGTAAGCACAATTTTAGGTAAAATGACATATAAGTGCTTCTAATTTTTCCCACAATAGGACATCAATTCCATTTTTTTTAAAAGAGTGGGTACTACTAATTCTACCCCCTAATTCCTTTTTGTTTCATAGATCAGTATTTGACACAGTCCTATTAGCAAAGGATCATAGATTCTGTGAGGTCAGAATAAAGGAAGCAATTTCTGACCTCTGGCTAAAAAGGATGTTTCTTTAAGTCATCTCTAGAATTCAGCAGGGGAATGGAAATAATCGGTTCCCTGTGGATGCTCCACTCTGCTTCAGTCTAGACCTGCCCCTAACTTGCAGGATAGGCAGCTAAGATGACAAATGCAGATGTTTATCTGTCTAAACATTTAAATATTAAAAATCAGGCTAAAAACTAAGAAATAAAGTATGTTCCACCACCTTAACAAATATATCTTCATAATAACAAAACAGAAAAATGTACATGGCTCTTTGTAACAGTGAAAATTAGTAAAACAGCAAAGAACTAAATTTAATTATTTCTGTATATGTCAGGATATTTTGTTGATGCACCAATCAGTAATATGATAGACATGACTCATCAATTATAAATAATTCCATAGAGTTTATTTCTCTTATTTTTCTTACCACAAAATCAATAATTATATTGTTATAATGAAGATATTTGTACAATTTTTGTTTTGTACTGTTCCATTCAGGTAACCACCTGAAAAATTATTTACTGCAGCAAGTTTAAGTGACAAAATTTGAGTATATTTTTATCTAAAATATAAGTTAATGTATATATAAAAATTCCAAAACCATTTTTCACATGCTTTTTAAAAAGATATTTTTTCTATAATAGACTTACTAAATAAAAAAGAAAATGCTAAATAATTTAAGGGTATAACTAATTTTAATTTGATCCATTTTACTGAAAATTTTAAGAAAAACTATTTAAATGCTTATTTCTTTTTTGAAAATTTAATTAAATGCCATTAAATATATTTATGAAAATAAAATTTGTAATTTGTATTTGTACTTCTGGGGTTCAATTAATTGCTGCCATAAAAGCTGATATCATGTTTTACACACTTAGACATACACATATACAAATTTAAGAGTGGTATAAATTATTTAATGTCATAAAATATTCTTCTGCCAATAGCTGCAAGTATTGCATTAGAAAACTTTGTAGGTACTACCAAAACCATGGATTGGAAAAAGAAAGAAAGCTGAAAATTAGACTATAAGTTCTCCTGGGAAATTACACTTGCTATGCAAGAATCTAGATTCTTGCATCTTGGAGGAAAGATTTGATAACTTAATTAATTTGTCTTCCCCTTAATTAAGGGCTTCTACTATTCAAAACCCACTCCCAGCTCCCAGTTCTTTCTGCAACCCAGCACTCCAAAGAGAGCAAACCCACAAACTTCTAAGCATATTTCAGTATTTTCATATTTCAGATTCCTACTTCAACACTCCAAGCATATTTCAATAGAAATTTACAAGGAATCTAAGCAGAGATATAAACATTGCTCCACAGAGAAGGACTCATAACAACAGTTCATATCTAAGATTGAGCAATGATTTAGAAGATTAATGGAATTAACTTTAAAAAGTGATGAAATTTTCATAAAACAGAGACTCTCATAAAGTATAAAACAAACTTAAGTATGACTTCATGAAATAGTAGAAGTGAAACTCTAGGGCTACCTAAAGCTATCAGTCCAAAGAATGCTTTGACAAAGAAATAGGAAGGCATGTTAGAAGAAAAACAGTTTTGAGGAGTGTAAATGTCCAGTACCCCTGTAAACTCACTTTTCTGCATTACTGATCCATGTTTTGACCTGTGCACCACTTTCTGCAACTCAACTCAACCAGTGGTTTAATCTAAACTGCTGACCTTTACTTAAGAAACAAATAGTCATCTACAAATGTTCTTAATTCAGAGATGACTTACTAGAGACTGCTGTCTATAACCACTGTCCTATATGGACAGACATCTGCTTCATGACTAACTTCTGCTATGGACCCAGTTGACTTGGAGACTTAGCAAATGATTAATGAGTGAAGAATTTGTTTTTTCCTTTGCTGCTTAAAGTCTCTGCACCAGGAGAAAAAATGCTATGGCAACCAGAATACAGCAAAGTGATGGAAGGATGTTGTGATGGCAAAAACATTTTGCAGGAAGTACTGAACTATGTGAAAATGAATGTGAAATAGAAATTAAGTCCTAGGAAGGAAAAAACACCCAGAATATTAAAGG